GACAACCTCCTTCCCTCTGCTCGCCGCAACGACTTGAAAGCAAGGAGTTTTTTGAAACTTGAATCTATGTGGATATGTCAAGCTCGGTTCTTTTCTCTGTGTGTTAGTGACTGTAGTAGCTCTTTGTCTATCTATGAGATCTCGAGGATTAGTAAACAGAATCGTCTCCGAGTTTGGGTAATGTCACCATGGGATACGACTTATGGTGACTTTTCATCTGCTCTTCAGTTTATTAATCATCATCACCGACCAAGGAAAGAGAAGCTTGACCAGGTGAGACGAATGTGCTTTGTCGGCGTATTGTGATTAAAACGAGAGAGAAGAGAGGAGGAGATGTGATGCGTATATGTATTTACAAATAAATACTTGAAATACGTATTTCCTTTTTTTATTTTTAGTAAAAATATCTATATATAATAGCAAACCACTTCTGACATCAGCATGTTTTATAGGAAAAAAAAATTCAATCCAACAGTCAGAAATTACTTGCTTTTAAGATCTAGCGAACTAAAAATATCTTCGGGAAGGATTGTTGATGTCATCAAATATGTGGTAACTCTTCTTTCAAGAGACATATATTTCATTTTAAAAGCCACAATCATATTTGTCATACCTTTTTGACAAGTTTAAATATTAATTTGAGTTTTTATATTATTAATATATTTTTATTAAGTCTTCAGACTAATAGAGATTTTATTTTTATGAAAAGACATACTTTTTAATAGTTCAAAAGAATAACTTTAAAACAAATATTATTCAGTTTTTATGAAAAGACACAAGTTTAAATATTAATTTGACCTCTTTAGTACTTTTATTTGGTGTTAAAAATAATAACATTTTACATAATTATGTTGTTTTTTTAAATCATAATTATGTTGCTTATTTGCATATTTACATACTAGAAATCTAGAAGTCGACAAAAATATATACTATGAATATGAAAAATAAACTATACTAGAGGTTGATCTGTGCGGATGTTAAGTTTTACATTTTTATAAATTAATATTTTATTTTTCATAATTTAAGTTATATTATATATATGCTATCATATAATTAACTGAATATTTTTAAGTTATATATCAGAACTGAACATCAAGCAAATTAATAAGGTAATATGATTATTTTGGTTATTTTTAGTTTAGATCTATATTGCACGAAGACGGATATGAGGATAGATACGGGTACGGAAGCAGGGACGGGAAACGGCAAAACTAAAAAAACATGGGTACGGGTACGTCACATATATATCAATAAATATTAATATATATGTATTAATATATATGTATATTTATATACTGAAAATACAAAATATCACTGTACATTTTATCTAATAAAATTTTATAAATTAAAAAGATTATAAAGAAGGTTATAAACTCAAAATCTAGTTTAAACCTCTATTTTTTATTTTTTATTTGGAAGAAAAGTAAATGAATAAGCTTTAAAAAGGATAATAATAAGGCAAAGCTGTTCTGAAACATTCCATAATTGACGGTTGCGTCTCTAGCTGTCCCCGTGCCGGCCCGATGTGTCCCCGTCTCGGAAACGTCTCTGGTACGGATACGTCAATCATTTAGACGACTCGTGCTTCATTGGTATGAATTTAAAATACCCAATGAAATCGGTTAATATATGTATTTTTGGTACAAATATCCGAACATGTTTTGGATACATTAGTTTTTATAATATTTTAAAATTTTCATACATCAAAACCGAATCCATATAGGCTTCATACTCATGTGAAAGAATAAATGAAGTGGTTACCATAAATTAATTGATTATTTAGTAACTAATAAATGAAAGGATTATTTAGAAAAGATAATAAATGAAGTAGTTAAAATTAATTAAAATAGAAAGAAAATCTGTAAAAAGTCACTTAAAAATATGAAAATATTTTTTTTTGTAATTTTGTTTTAATAAAATAGATGTCAGAAAGTTTTGGTTATAAAGATAAGGTTTTGGTTATATGAAAATATATATTTAAATAAAATAAAGATAGATATTTGGCCTTTTTTTTTTGCAAGTTGTAAAACAATATGTTCTCTTTCAAAAAAAAAAATCGTAAAACAATTATTTTCATATAACTACAGTCTATATTTCATTAATTCCGAAATTTGAATGTTATTACAACACATAACTTTAGTTGTTATTCATACTAATAACACATCAATTTCCCTATTATATTAATATTAGGTGAATTTCCTTTTCTCATGCACAACAATTGTTTTTTGTCAGCAACAGAAACAGACTTTAAGAAGACTCTGAAATCAAACTGGTAACTCTGCATACATATGAACAACAAAAGACGTTTGTTTTCTAGCATTTCTTGCTAGAGTGTCCGCATTAGTATTCATCGTTCTGGGTATATGAATGATGTATGAGTAATTAAAACTTCCTTGAAGGATCTTGATGTCTTCCAAATAATTCGCAAAAGCTGACCATTCTTTTGGTGCAGAAACCATCTTTACCAGCTGAATACAATCAGTCGCAAAAGTAACATGGAATCGACGTAAGTTCCCCATGCTTTTTATTACCCAAATGAAGGCTTTTATTCCGAATGTAGAGGGGAGAGACTAGCTCTCGAATTCCTTGATCCATGTAGTCACTGGAAACCTTCAAGCGTACTATACCAGCCCTCACCCGAAAATATCTCATGTTCTTTCCATGATCTATCAATAAACCACCAGCGACCCGGGATCAAAGGTAACTGGAACTCTCTATTTACGTGTACTAACGACATTAACAAAATTCATTTTTTTTGTTTTGGAATTATTACTATTATTTATTAGGTGTTTTATCCGCACATAACTTTTTACGAATAATTATTATTTTATATTTTATTAATTCAAAAACCAGTATAATAAATATTATGTCTTCAAAAAGTTTAAATCAAACATCAAATTAATTAAAAATGACAACACTGACATATCAAAACTGTTTTTTAGAAAATATATTTATACAAATGTTTTTGCTTAATTTATATTTATTTATAATTATATATCTTAATTTTTAAATTTTGTTATAGGAAATCTATTTTCAAGATAACAGCATAATAGATAAAAAATTATCTTATTTTCTAAAATATAATATTATTAATATAAATTAATTTTAATTATATACAAGATTATTAAAAAGACATGAAAAATAAGTAAAATTATCTAGATTCATGGAGAAGTTAACAAATATGTATTAGTTTATGTTTTATTAACAGCCAGCATAATGAAAAATAATTTAAAAAATACTTATTAGTTTATATTTTATTAACTTAAAAACCAGTAGAATAAATTATTATCTTGTTTTCAAAAATTACATCAAACATCAAATTAATTATAAATTTCAACGTTCACATTTCAGAAGCATTTTAGAAATTATGTTCTTTTTCAACTATTAGAAAATATATTAATACACATATTTTTGTTTGATTTATATTTAATTATAATTTTATATCTTAATTTGTAAATTTTATAATAGAAATATATTTTCAAGATAATAATAGAATACATAAGAATTATCTTATTTTGTAAATATAATATTATTAATATAAATAGTTTTAATTTTATAATAAATTATATATAATATTATTATAAATATGACAAATAAACAAGACTACCTAAAATCATGGAGAATTTGACAAATAAGCAAATTTACTTCTCAAATAATTATATATAGATTTGTTTTTATTTTTTTATTTTTTATTTCAAACTTGGCAAACTTTTATTCGTTATTATGTTAGTGGTGAACCTAGAGATTCATTATTGAGGATAAACCCAAAAAGAACTATTTATAAACAATATATCATCACAATTATACATGTAACTGGCTTTCAAAATTATCAAAAGAAAAGAATAAAATAAAATTTAAGAACTCATTAAATCTTTTTTTCTAATTAAGTTTAAGAAAGGAAACAAATCTTGCAATTCGAAAGTACCTGTCAAAATTTAATCGACATTAAAGTGGAACATCTAGCCGAGTTTACTAGAACAAAAGAGTAATCTTTGGAAGAGATCAGATATTTTATGTTTGGATTTGGATATCCAGTCTCTCCTAATTTAATACTCGAGAGTCTTTCAATATTTTACTACTTCGATTCAAATTTCGATTCATTTTTTTCTGGACCGGGTTCGATTACAGATTTGGGTATCAGATAAAATGTCAGACTGAGTCTATCTATTAGAAATAGAGTGTTATATTTGAAAACATTTTGGGGGGGTTTTATTAGATCAAGAATTTGAGAAGATTTCATTTTTCTTTCAGATGTCATGTTGTTGTATTTAACATTTATAAATTCTTAGTGAAATCCAAACTTTTGGATTAGTCATTTGTATAGATTCTCCTAAATTATAGTTTCTTTGAAAATATGAATTTTGTCAATTAGATCTATCAAATGACATTTATGGAGTTTGGATGATATTTTATAATGAATTGAAATACCACTTCCAATGATGGGACCATTTGATTTTTTTTTCAGAATTATTTCACATTTTTAAAATAAATTCAAATTGGTTGAAATAAAATAAAGACCATTTGGAAATCATTTTTTATAAAAAAAACTTATATATTTCATAAACTGATAAAATATCAATAAAATATTTTAAAATAAAATATTATTTTAAATTTAAAAGGTTTTTCAAAAAAACCCTGAAATTTCTTAAAAACCCTCAGAACTTGTAATCATTCTAACATAAATAATTTACTCAAGTCCAAATTTTTCTTGAATGTATTCAAATCTCGAATCTACATTTTTTTTTTCGAAACAATCTCGAATTTACTCAAATCTAGAATTTATCAAACTCTTGATTCAATAATAAGTCCACTTTCCTGTAAATTTAATCCCGTGCCACGGTCGACCCCGGTTCGGTTCCAGTCTTCAAAATCGAAAATAAATAAAGAAACCCCGTCCGTGTGGGTAGGGGGTTAAGACTTAAGACGGACCCTAAATTGCACAGTCACTCCCTCCCCTCCCCTCCTTGTGTGAAAGATTCGATTCAGCAGAGAGAGAGAAGATGAGCTTCGCTGCCTTCAAGATGATGCATTGGCCTACGGGCGTCGAGAACTGCGCCTCCGGTTACATCACCCACTCCATCTCCGACACTACTCCGATGCAGATTCCCGGCGACGACCTCGAACCCGATTGGCCCGCTCCTCCCAAGCGCGGCATCTGCGCCGTGCCTAACGTCGTCATAACCGCCGCCAACGTCCTCGAGGTCTACGTCGTTAGGGTTCAGGAGGAAGGGAGCGGGGAGCCGAGGAGCCAGAAGCCTGCTGCTAAGCGCGGCGGCGTCTTGGACGGCGTCTCCGGTGTCTCTCTCGAGCTCGTGTGCCATTACAGGCTGCACGGTAACGTTGAGTCGCTTGCCGTGTTGCCTATGGGAGGCGGGAACTCTACTAGGGGAAGAGATTCCATTGTGCTGACGTTTCGCGACGCGAAGATCTCGGTTCTTGAGTTTGATGATTCGATTCATAGTCTTAGATTGAAGTTAGTTAGAGTGTTTTGGCTTATCAATTGCTTCTTTGATGGATTCAGTACTAGTAGCTAATGAGATATGTTGTTTGGTTTCAGCTCGATGCATTGTTTTGAGGGTCCAGATTGGCTTTATCTGAAAAGAGGAAGAGAGTCCTTTCCAAGAGGGCCCTTGGTGAAAGTGGATCCTCAAGGCAGGTGTGGAGGTGTTCTTGTTTACGGTTTGCAGTTGGTCATACTCAAGGCTTCTCAGGTGTTCCTTTCAGATCTTTATATTAGATTTAGTTTGTGTTTGCTAAGTAAGTAGAACACACTTCATTCTTTTGGTTTTGCAGGTTGGTTCTGGACTAGTTGGAGATGATGATGCCTTCACTTCTGGTGGGACCATTTCTGCTCGAGTTGAATCATCTTACATCATCAACTTGCGTGATCTCGGAATGAAACACGTCAAAGATTTTGTTTTTCTAAATGGTAAGTTTGCTAGAAAGGTTTTGTTTTTTTTGACGTTTTCCTTGTATCTCTGAATAAGTAGTTAATCATTATATATGTTATGATGGAAGTTGCAGTGAATCCCGTTTCCTACTGACTTGTTGGTTTTAGATTCAATACGACATCAAACAACTTGTGAATTTATCCAGCTGATGCATCTGTATCGTGGATTTGATTTTTCGATAGATAGCCGTCTTACTTTTTAGATATTCGGGTTTTCCAAATAGTCGTAATGTGAATAAATTAAGTGGTCCTTCTTCTGATTATTTGTTCCGGCATCTTGTGTCTTGTTTCAGGTTATATTGAGCCTGTAATTGTAATCCTTCAGGAAGAAGAGCATACATGGGCTGGGCGAGTTTCATGGAAGCACCATACTTGCACGCTTTCTGCTCTTAGTATCAATACGACATTAAAACAACACCCAGTCATCTGGTCAGCTATTGTATGTTCTTTATTTTCCTCTTTTATGTTAAAAGAATGTTTCTTCCCTAGAAGGCAAATATGTGAATATCTTTAGTAATCTATATTGTAAGCTGAGAGCAGAAACTGAAGTCATATAAAAAAATATATTGTTTGCTGATTGTTGTTTCATGACTAGGCTTTTTCAGTCAACTACTAAGAAATCAGAAACATGCATGTTGGCTTTCTTATTTGTTCTTTGTTTAGAATGCTTAAAAGTTTAGGAAAATATACAGAATAATAGCCTTTTTATGCAAATCAGTACAACGGAACCTACTAAAAAATCTCCTTGTGCAACCTGTAGTCCCAATCATACTTATTCCCATTCTTTGGTATTTTCCAGAATCTGCCCCACGATGCCTACAAACTACTTGCAGTACCATCTCCAATCGGTGGTGTTCTTGTTTTGTGTGCAAATACAATCCATTATCATAGTCAGGTAATTTGATATCACTTAGCTTAGCCTTAATATTTTTCGAAGCTAAAGTCTATAATTAACACATCTGAGATACCAAATTTTCTTGTAGTCAGCCTCCTGTGCTCTGGCACTGAACAGTTATGCCTCCTCAGCTGATAGCAGGTGCAGTTTTCTCACACACTATCCGCTCTTCGAAATCCGCCTTCTGCTTATGGATACGATCTTGTTGCCACAACCTTGTTTTAAAATCCCATAGCTTAGAATTAGCAATTGTAAAATTCTGTTTATACTGTGTAACCATATTTATTTTCGTTTGTGTCTGTTTTCTTTCAGTCAAGAACTGCCTGCATCAAGTTTCAGTGTAGAACTCGATGCTGCTCATGGAACCTGGATATCGAACGAGGTGGCCCTTTTGTCAACGAAGTCTGGGGAATTGTTGCTGCTTACTCTTATATATGATGGGCGGTAATATTTTGATTTTCTTTTTAAATTTCTGCTGACACCTGTAAATTTGGCTGCAACTTATTTTGTTTATAATATGTGAAACTCACTGCTATATTCTTTCTTAAAGTGCTGTGCTGAGACTTGATCTTTCCAAATCAAAAGCCTCTGTGCTTGCTTCGGTTAGTCAATTTCTTCTCTCAATATATTTGTGCTTCACTTTGCTCTGGATCCAGTTCTATTAGAGAATCTCTAAGATGTAGTACCAAATTTCTTGCAGGACATCACTAGTGTTGGAAATTCTCTTTTCTTTTTAGGTAGCCGTTTGGGAGACAGTTTACTGGTTCAATTTTCGTGTAGATCTGGGCCCGCAGCATCCTTACCTGGGTTGAGAGATGAGGTGATAGTTCAATCGTTTTTAGGCTGGTCAGGGTATTAGTTAAATGCTTAGTCGGAACTTGTAAAATATCTTGCCTAATTTATGCAGGATGAAGACATTGAAGGTGAGATTCATCAAGCAAAACGTTTGCGGATATCTTCTGATGCTTTTCAAGATACAATTGGAAACGAGGAGCTTTCATTGTTTGGTTCAACACCAAATAACTCCGATTCATCACAGGTAGCAAGTTCTGCCTTGGTTTGAGTTTTGTAGAATATCCTGTTGACTTGGGGTCATCTTCTTAGAAAAAGCTCAATAAAGCCACTTCTTTCCTGTCTTTAAATGGCCTTACTATTTGAGTTGGGGTTCTTTTGCAGAACATTCTTCAGTTCGCTATCTGTATGTGCTTTCAGTAGCACATGATTCAACTTTTGAAAAATATGTTGAACAGAGAATTAGTAGTTTAGTTACTGCAGAAATAGTTTACCTTCGCAAAAACTGCAACATGTATTATGTCAATAGGAGTTAGATAACCTATGTTCTCATTTTCATGAAGTTTCTCATGTTTTCTTTTTCAATAATTGCAGAAATCCTTTTCATTTGCTGTAAGAGATTCACTAGTTAATGTTGGTCCAGTGAAAGATTTTGCGTATGGCTTAAGGATAAATGCTGATGCAAACGCCACTGGGATTTCCAAACAGAGCAACTATGAATTGGTGAGCCGCTTGTTAAGTAATTCTTATATAATACTAGCCGTGGAAATGTTTGATATAAAATATAACATTCTTAGTGTTGTCATTCAAAGACGTCTATTTTTGAAGTATCCTTTTCTTAACAATGAAATCCGTTGTTCCACAACTTTTAGTGTCGACATGCTTCCTCCTATTTGGTCTAAAACTGAAAACGCCAAACTGAATATATGTATCTTGGCGTTTAGGTGTGCTGTTCTGGTCATGGGAAGAATGGTGCTTTATCTGTTCTTCGGCAGTCAATTAGACCGGAAATGATTACTGAGGTATGCCTATCCCAAATTGTTTCTGGTATATGATATCAATTGGAAATACTGTCCCATTACTATGCCTTGGACGTAATTTCTATATATATACCCTTTCAAAATAACGATGCAATAGTTTATAGTGAGCTCTGAACAGAAGGATGTATTAGGACATTCTCGCTGGTTTATATCTTTCACAATTAATATCCACTACTGGAATATTTCTGTTTAGTAATGATCTGGAAAAGAAAAGTTAAAGAAATTATGTGCGAATGGCAACTTAAAACTGGAGCTCACTGTAAAAAAAAGGGATATCTCCGATCTTACTTAGTAATGCTATGTATGTGACCTATTATCTTCGATCCTTAAGCGCGATATTCCGCATGTTCTTGTGGGTAGGTTGATCTCGGAGGCTGCAAAGGAATATGGACAGTTTACCACAAGAGCTCCCGTGGTCATAATGTTGATTCTTCTAAACTTGCTGCTGATGAGGATGAATATCATGCCTATTTGATTATAAGTTTGGAGGCTCGCACAATGGTATATTTTACTTCTATGTTTTGGTCGCATTTCAGTAGATCCTCCTATTCTCAATAGAAATACCTTCATTGTTTGGCTTTTCAGGTGCTTGAAACTGCTGACCTTCTAACAGAAGTCACTGAGAGTGTTGACTATTATGTTCAGGGAAGAACAATTGCTGCTGGGAATTTGTTTGGAAGGTTAGCTGCCATTATATGTTTTTGCTGCATCTAGATGTGTTTATTGTATTATTAACCCCAGTGCACTGTCTACTAAGCTCTATTCGTGGCTTTATTCTAGTCATTGAACTGTGTATACTACATGCAGCTGTAAGAGATAGAATTTAATTCGTATTATAATAATTTCCATGTTTATTTTTTCAGACGTCGGGTAATCCAGGTGTTTGAGCATGGTGCCCGTATCCTGGATGGTTCTTTTATGAATCAAGAATTAAACTTTGGGGCCCCTAATACAGAATCCAATTCTGGTTCTGAAAGTTCCACTGTCTCATCTGTTTCAATTGCCGATCCATATGTTTTACTTAGAATGACAGATGACAGCATTCGTCTGCTTGTTGGAGGTATGTTAGGGAAATATAAATTCCTTATGCAAAAGTTGATCTTGTAATCTATTATCTTGAGGATCTTAACATGTTTTACTCAAACAGTCTCATATGGAACTTTGAACTGCAGATCCTTCGACTTGCAGAGTTTCCATAAGTAGTCAATCTGTACTTGAAGGCTGTAAAAGGAAGGTATCGGCATGTACTTTGTACCATGATAAAGGACCAGAACCCTGGCTAAGGAAAGCTAGCACTGATGCATGGCTTTTGTCAGGAGTTGGAGAGGCTGTTGATAGTGCTGATGGTGGACCCCATGATCAGGGTGACATATACTGTGTTCTCTGTTACGAAAGTGGTGCCCTTGAGATATTTGATGTGCCTAGTTTCAGTTGTGTTTTCTCTGTTGATAAATTTGCATCTGGAAGAAGCTACCTCTCTGATATGCCTATTCATGAGCTAGAGTATGAACTCAACAAAAATTCCCAGGATAATGTATCTGCAAGGAACGAAGACACTATGAAGACAAAGGTCGTTGAGTTAGCTATGCAAAGATGGTCTGGCAATCATACACGCCCATTTCTCTTTGCAGTATTGGCTGATGGTACAATTCTTTGTTACCATGCTTACTTATTTGAGGGTGTTGAGGGTACCAACGCAGACAATAGTGTATCTTCAGAAAACCCTGCTGCTTTAAATTCCTCCAGTAGTTCTAAGCTTAGGAATCTGAGATTTCTTCGCATCCCCTTGGACACGTCTACAAGAGAGGAGACTTCAGATGGAGTTGCAGCTCAAAGAATTACCATGTTCAAGAATATTAGCGGTCACCAGGGACTTTTTCTTTCTGGCTCAAGACCAGGGTGGTGTATGTTGTTCAGAGAGAGACTTCGATTTCATTCACAGGTATGATATCCTCACCGAAAAAGACGATTTTTATGTTCTTGCGTCTAAAGGAGCTGGATAAATACTATTATTTCAATCTTATGGAGTTCTTAATTAACAATGATACGAAGCTTGTGTGGCTTTTCTTGAGAAAGTTCTTCCATCTCATGTTATCACACTTTTTCAGCTGTGCGATGGATCAATTGTGGCTTTTACTGTGCTTCACAATGTGAATTGCAATCACGGATTCATATATGTCACGTCACAGGTTTAATAATGTGTCTCTATCTCATTTATGTTGTTCTTTCTATTCTTATAGACTATCATATCCTTTGAAAAGATAACTCCTCTTATTGACATGAACCAGGGAGTTTTGAAGATTTGCCAATTACCTTCAGCATCAGTCTACGATAATTATTGGCCAGTGCAAAAGGTTCCATTTCATTACTTACGGTTTCTGTATGTTGATTGGGCAAAAAATAATAAGTATATGAGAACTGATAACGTTAATGCCTGATATTCCTGTCTAGATTCCTCTGAAGGCTACGCCTCACCAAGTTACTTACTACGCGGAGAAAAACTTGTACCCGCTGATAGTATCATATCCGGTAAGCATTAGCATGATAAAGTAATCTACACTTTTCTACCTAATCCGCGTGGTGTCTCTGGTTGCATTGGATGAATATATAATTGTTTTTGTGGTTGAATTGGGACAAGGCCTTATTTTTTTTTACTTCCCTGGTCGCAGCAATATTATTGGATCGTGCTTATTTTCTTTTTTTGATAATTGAACACCTGAACTAATGCAGTTTGTGCATGCGTATTTTAGTTCTTTCCTTTTGTTGAGAAGAAAGGAAGTTCTGTACCAGTTATGTATTACCTGCCTATTTATTCATTATTATTCTCTCATACTAACACAAGCAAATATCGTTGCTCTGTCTTTTTTTCAGGTCAGCAAGCCACTGCATCAAGTGCTTTCTTCACTAGTTGATCAAGAAGCTGGCCAGCAGATTGACAACCATAATCTGAGCTCTGATGATCTCCAACGACCATACACCGTTGAGGAATTTGAAATCCGAATTTTGGAACCTGAAAGATCTGGTGGCCCTTGGGAAACTAAAGCCACTATTCCAATGCAGAGCTCAGAACATGCACTCACTGTGCGAGTTGTCACGCTTCTTGTAAGTTAGCTACTAAGCCTGCCTAAAGTCATAAAATTGTTCTCTGCCTCCATAAAGAATGTTATATTGTCGTCTTTATGACATGTTTGTTAATTGACTAATATTGCTGGGAGCAAATCTAGGGGTCAAATCTAATAAATGACCATGTGTAAATTGCAATAACCAAGGCTCATTTTCTTACTACCTGGGTGTTTTCAGAATGCTAGCACAGCGGAGAATGAAACACTTCTTGCTGTTGGAACTGCTTATGTCCAAGGGGAGGATGTTGCTGCAAGAGGCCGTGTGCTTCTTTTCTCTTTCGGAAGAAACGGAGATAATTCTCAGAATTTGGTATGTTTAGCTTGGTCTACTACAACTATAACCTAGATAAGCTTGTTATTTGTGTTCATTTTCATCTTAGATGTTGGATTTATTCTGAAGCCACTTTTACAATAGGTTACTGAAGTCTACTCAAAGGAACTAAAAGGAGTTGTATCAGCTGTGGCCTCCATTCAGGGGCATCTTCTAATATCAACTGGTCCTAAAGTCACCTTGCACAAATGGAATGGCACTGAACTAACTGGTGTTGCTTTCTTTGATCCACCGCTCTATGTAGTCAGCATGAATGTGGTACGTTATACTTTTCCTGGCTTGGCTTGGTTTGGTTCTGTATATCAGTTTTCTTCTGCGTGATTTTGGTTTTGCTGCACATGCTAATATATCTTTCCCTGCACAGGTAAAGAATTTCATCCTCCTTGGTGATGTTCACAAAAGCGTATACTTTCTAAGCTGGAAGGAACAAGGGTCCCAACTTAGCTTACTAGCCAAAGATTTTGGATCCCTCGATTGTATGGCTTCAGAGTTTTTGATTGATGGAAGTACGCTGAGCCTGGCTGTCTCCGATCAGCAAAAGAATCTCCAGGTTAGCATCCCTCGTAGTGTGTACGTGATGTGATCAGGCCTTACTTATATATGTACTCGATGGAACATAGTGAAATACACTTTCAACTTTTAAACTGACTTTGTGCTGATCCCCAACAGATATTCTATTTTGCACCGAAGATGTCGGAGAGCTGGAAGGGTCAGAAACTTCTGTCAAGGGCGGAATTTCACGTCGGTGCGCATGTGACAAAGTTTCTACGTCTGCAGATGGTTGAATCTCTTAGCGCGGATAAAAAGAGTCGCTATGCTTCGTTATTTGGTACACTAGACGGCAGTTTTGGTTGCATTGCTCCACTAGATGAGGTCACTTTCCGTAGGTTACAGTCACTCCAGAAAAAGCTAGTTGATGCTGTTCCTCATGTTGCGGGTCTGAACCCACGCTCTTTCCGTCAGTTCCGCTCTAGTGGGAAGGCTCGAAAACCTGGGCCTGACAGCATTATCGACTGCGAGCTACTCTGCCAGTAAGTTTTCTATATGTTCAACCAGTAGTAACAACCACATATGTTACTTGAAAACCGTATATGATATAGAACAATCATAACCGGATTTGATACTAATGGTTTTTAAAATGTTTGCAGTTACGAGATGCTTCCACTGGAGGAACAGCATGCACTTGCTCAGCAGATTGGGACAACCCGAGCTCAGATTTTCACGAATCTAGTTGAGCTCTCTGTCGGAACCAGTTTCTTGTGAAGGTCAGATCGTAATGCGTCGTTATTGTTCACCTTGGACGAGAGGAACTAGTAAGAGGCAGGCTTCTTAATGTTGTATAGATGCTGTAACGTACTATCATGAAATGTTTTGTTTGCATCTAGATTATTTGAAGAAGATTCTTCTCCAAGTTTTCTGTTTGTTTCATGTCTACATCGAATACTACTACCTTAGATCTAGACAGTATCTTAATTATACAACTTTGTTTAATTTTGAGTATTATAGAATTCGCGTTATCAATGAAAATGTCATTAAAATATTGAACATAGCGAGACAATGAGAATTATAAAAGTGTAAAACGATTTACTTGTGTGTGAAGAAGCAAATGGGCAGGCTTGATGATTATTGTCTCCAAGCACACAAATTGCAAACACGTGCGCATACTCACCACTCCACGCCCGAAAGAAGATAGCCAAATGGCACAACAAAGTAAATGAGTCTTTAGTTTTTAAAACACAATCATAATAACATGTTGTCTCTTTCTACCGCCTTTCTTGCTTTCACTTTCGAATGTCTACCAAAGTAATAGCATTTTTACTTCCTTTCTCTGTACCTTTTACTCTTTGTCTCTTTGAGAATCTATTTTGTTATTGAAATATATGTTTTGCGAAAGTTCTGGATCAATTCATAAACCCACTTCACGGTGGGAATTTGTAAACTTGGCACCTTTCAAATATTCCACTTCTCAAAGAGAGAGAAGTCAAAGTGCGAAATGAGTGTGTGACATAATAATATGTCGAGCACCACTAAATATTCATAACTACAAAATTAGGGATACGTTGCGAAAAGATTAGTGACTATTATTTATCGTATACAAGACAATGTTGTCACCCGGCTTGATATTTTGATAGGAAAATGTCTCATCACATCATATGTACTAAGTGCAATTTTTATGCGGTATATAAATTAAAAAACATCTTTGTTTAGGAGCTTTTCAATTTGGGTCTCAAGAGATTATATCGGAAGAGATTTATTTGAGAGATTTCTAGTACTGATGTTTTAAAACTCTGACAAGTGTTACACAAAAAAATCTGACAAGTAACATGAAAATGGTGTTGTTGTAAGAAACTTTATCACGGTGAAAAACAAAACTCCGAGACAACATCCAATTGTCAGCTTTTTTTGTGTTTTTTTTTTACAATATCCCTTTTTACTTGTCGCTAATTTTACACACATGAAAGGTTCACATGACAACATTTGCGAATAATTAAAAGTTTAAGAAGCAGAAGAAAAAGAACTCAGTTCAAAAAAAAAAAAAAAAAGAACTGAAAAGCAAATGATTGGAGTCAGAAGGAGAATGTTGGCGAAATGCTTGGCAGCGTGGTTGAGTGTGTACTGTTGCAAGTCAGCGATTTCTCCTTTCTCATAGATCACTTTATCACTGAACTTATGCCTCTGTTTCACTTCTTATTTTCTCATAATCTCTTTTAGTATACTCACAAATTATATATGTGCTACACAGTTAACATTCTGCCATCAATTAAAAAAAAAACTTTGTGCTAGGTTTGCCATTGTTTAGCCAACATACCACCTTACACATGTTTACCACATCATATTACTTAGGGATGTTATTTAGTCTTTTTTACAGAGAAACCCACAACTCCTGCAGAGATTTTGTATTGGAATTCCAGTATTTCTTACTATGCAATTCATTCAATTCATCTTTATGTCATGTTTAGTCATATTTGAGTAGTTACCTTGTTATGTTTAGGATTTATTAGGGGTTAGATGAATTATTAAAACATAGAAGTTAGAACTGCTAAGGTGATGTATTAGGATCCTTCAACATAATTGATCTAATTGCTTGTGTTTTAGAATAGTTAACGAGAACCCTAAACTGAATATAATTAACAGCCGCAAGAGTAGGTTCAACTCCCGATAATTATTATGTTGAGCTAGATTGTCAGGCGGATGCAAGAGTTGGTTTAGTTAACCTAGTGAACATCTCGATATGGACGTTAATGATTGTCTAAGGAAGTATCGACCGATTTACACTCATCTTTTATTTGAATGCGAGAGCTGGAACATAGGACTTAGTCATATGGTTACAGTCGCAACGAGAGTTGGATAACATACTATTACATTTGAGTTATAGATTGGTTCATCACACACCCCTAGCATCTATAACTCATAATTTTGATTGCCTAAAACGCTACTTCTAGCTATTTTCTCATATATTTTACTACAATGGATTTACGAGTTTGTTGCTCTATTTACTGTTTAATATTTATTGCCTATATTAATCAAGTTTTTTTTTGTAATTTATAGTGTGGTTCACATTCTTGTGGATTTAATCCTTTAATACTATAAATCCAGACTCTTACTTGAGAGAGAATGTTGCTCTACGGTAATTTGAACGATATTACAACTCCAACAAACACAAACCAACACACATCCAACAAACCATGACAAATCCAAGAAAAAAAATACTAATGAAACATGACAAACCAAGAGACCAAAACCTAATAAAACATGACAACATAAACCACAAACCCTAACTACTTCGTCAACAATGTAAACGTGATGATGGTTGTGACTGAAGGTGAATCAGATAAGAGGATAAAACCAAGGAAATATAAACTTGTGTTTTCTGGATAATACTCTTCTTTCTTATTATCGAAAATCAAAGGAGTTCTTCCTATTTATACAAGCTAAGAGAAATGCCCTAGAGATGGATGAGCTGGCTCTGACAGCTCATACGATCTGATCCTTAATCGCCTCGAATCTGTTGGAGAACTGAATCTGGTGAGCTAGAGGTTTGACCCGTTTGTCCTCTTCCTTGCCTCTGCTTTCTTGTTTTTTGATCGTTGAAGACTGTTGTCGTGTTGCAAAGACAAAGGAGTTGGGTCTGATGACATGGGCCTTAGTATGTGTCTGATGGGCTTGTCTGTTGGTGTTAATACCCCCTTGCAAACTCGAGGTGGGAGAATGATCAACTCCGAGTTTGAACCTTAAATGGTCAAAGCTCTGCTAAGGAAGAGACTTGGTGAACACATCTGCAATTTGCTGTGTTGCTGGAATGTGTTTAACAACAAGAGAACCATCTGAGACTTTCTCCCTAGCAAAATGATAGTGTGTAGCAAAGTGTTTGGACTTGCGATGCAACACATGATTTGCAGTCAAGTGAACAGCTGAAAGATTATCACAGTATATCTCGACTGGTTCACTGTGTTTCACACCAATGCTTTTCAACATACCTGTGATCCATGCTAACTCTGTTGCCGTGTCAGATAAAGTACGATACTCAGCCTCCGTTGAAGACCTAGCCACAGAGTCTTGTTTCTTAGCAGACCAAGAGATCAGATTTGAGCCAAGGAATGTGCAAAACCCACCTGTAGATCTTCTTGTGTCTTGGCATCCAGCCCAGTCACTATCACAATAAGCTCTAACTTGGGAATCAGTGTCTGACTCAAGTGTAATCCCCATCTTCATTGTACCTTTGACGTATCTCAGTATCTGTTTCAGAAGATTGAAATCAGAGACAGCCGGTGTATGCATCTTCTGACACACCAAATTTATTGCAAATTGAAGATCTGGACGAGTCAAAGTCAGGTATTGGAGTTTACCTGCGAGACTCCTGAAGTATGTTGGATTAGAGAAGGTTTCTTCCTGGTGTGGGACTCTGTCGAGTTGAACAGGAAAAGGAGTTGGCATAGGAGCGCAGTCCAGCATCCCTGCAGTCTGAAGTAGATCGAAACTCTGAACGAGAAAAAGGAAGTTTACACGTTTTGCCTAACTGACAGGACTCGCACACTGACTGAGAAGTCTTATTGAAGGAGATTGCTTGAATAGAGGATAGATGCTTCAGAACTTGATCATTAGGATGCCCTAATCTCTTGTGCCACACGCTATCACTCGTACGTTGTTGTCTAGATGAGTAATATGCCAAGAACTGAGATGCATCCAGCCGATAAAGTCCCTTAGTTTTGGCTCCCTGACTTAGAACCTTGTGAGTGACCTTGTCCTTAACATATACAGCAGTGGCATCAAATGTAAACTCACATGGAAAATCATCTGTTAACTTGGAAACTGAAAACAGAGATTTTGTAGTACCAGGGCAAACAAGTACATGAAGAAGAGGAATGTTACCTGCAGCAGAAGGAAGAGTAGCTGATCCAACATGTGTTATTGGTAGGTAGTCTCCATTTCCTACAATAACTTGATCAGAACCGTCATATGCCTGAGCAGAATCAAGACGTTGTGTTGAGTTTGTGACATGATGAGAAGACCCACTGTCAGTATACCATTCACCACCTGAAGACCTGTTGGTTGGACCAGTGGAGAGAACATTCTCCTGAGGAGAGCTATCCACATCAAAATTTTCATCAAATCTTTTGAAACACTTGTAAGCCGCATGTCCATACTTTCCACAAATCTGACAGGTTGGTCGTTGAGAACGTCCACCGATATTGGGATTTTTTTGAGCTCCTTGACCAAACTGTTGAGGAAAACCTCTTCCTTGTGTTGAGTACGAACCACGACCACGATATCCTCCACGATACTGACCTCGACCACGACCAGAGTAACGACCACCTTTAGCATAATAAGCCTGATGAGCTGTTACTCCTGCTTGAGACTCATAAGTTTGAATTTTGTCTTCAAATCCAGTCAGTTTGTGGACAATATATTCAAAGAAAGTCTCCGGAAAAGCATCCATAGAGTGCTCAATCACGGTACAGACAGTCTCATACTCTTTTCCTAAGCCATTGAGGACACCATAAATCTTCTCTTTTTCACTAATATGGGATCCTATGGAGTCTAGTTGATCACAGAGGGACTTCCTTTCAGAGAGATAAACTGACATAGTCTTGTTACCCTTAACACTAGTCTGAAATATCCTCTGTAGATCTAACTTTCTTGTAGCTGAAACCCTATTATACTTCTTAGCGATAGCAAGTCATACCTCTTGAGAAGTGTGGAGACCATAGACAGACTTCAGTGCTTCTTCAGACAGAGATCCATACATCCAAGCAAGTATTAGTTGGTCTTTCTGAACCCATTTGTTGAACTCTGGATTGGGTTCTTCTGTGACCACATCTCCATTACGAGTAGAGACAGTAGGTGGAGCTAGCTTGACAGAAACTGTTCAAACTGTAACTTCCATAGCAAATAGTTGCCTTCCTTAAACTTCAAGGTAACAACATGAGTAATGGTTAGAGGCGCAACCGTCAACGTATCTTGGTCATCCATGATCGACTCTCTGAGCTCTGATACCATGAAGGTGAATCAGATAAGAGGATAAAACCAAGGAAATATAAACTTGTGTTTTCTGAATAATACCCTTCTTTCTTATTATCAAAAATCAAAGGAGTTCTTCCTATTTATACAATCTAAGAGAAATGCCTTAGAGATGGATGAGCTGGCTCTGACAGCTCATACGATCTGATCCTTAATCGCCTCAAATCTGTTGGAGAGCTGAATCTGGTGAGCTGGAGGTTTGACCCGTTTGTCTTCTTCCTTGCCTCTGCTTTCTTGTTTTGTGACCTTTGAAGACTGTTGTCGTGTTGCAAAGACAAAGGAGTTGGGTCTGATGTCATGTGCCTTAGTATGTGTCTGATGGGCTTGTCTGTTGGTGTTAATAGTGATAACACTGAATCATATCCATGAGAAAGCAACAAATTGCCTTAGCAATTTCTTCTTTTCAACCAATGTTAAAGTGAAGTTTCAATTTTTTCTTTTCCTTTGCGAGTCTGTCTCCTTCTTCCCACAAGAATACAATTGAATTTCCTTAAGTAGCTTGATGAGAAGCTATTCTAAGAAACTTTTTAAAGTTTTTTATTTCTTATTTTTGACTACGAAATAGGTCTCTGACCTCTCTGTTTATGTAATCCATTTCACTTCTCCTTATCAACCCAAAACCACAAAATCATGAGAATTACACTAATAAAACCTTTGATCCGAATTATCATTTGCCTACGTCTGTCATATTTTCAGCTTCAAATGGTGGCATCAAGAACTGTCATATTTCTTCTGATAGAATGAGATTGCACCTGAGCACGAGCTTACGCTCTTAGCCATCAACTTTGGTTTAATCTGAAGGTTTTTGACAAAAAGGAGAAGAGATAAATTATAGTTTATTCTAAATCAAGGGGAGGATTTTTATAAAGTTAACTGTGCTTTTAATAACTTAAGCATGTGTTCAAAAGTTTATGTTTTATTGAGAAGTTTTAATGCATGTATTTTTAAAGAATTTAGTGTATTTCTTTAACTTTGGTGTATTTAGTGCATTTTTAGTAAATGGAAATTAATGCATGTATTTTAAAGAATTTACTCAAATTATTTTTTGAAAATCACGTAATAATTATTTATATACAAAAATATATATATGGCAGACAAAATACTTGAGATCACAAATAAGGTCTTACAAATCGTGAAGCGGGTCAAAGCAGACGAAAACCACATCGTAGGATGCGTCGTTAATCTCATAAACTAACTCTCTCATGAAGCTTCCTTCACGTTCTACTTCATACTTTCAAAGTATGAATACATTCAATTAACCATTTATGCACATTTGTAAATAGATAAATTATGCAAGTGCTATATCTGTAGACATATGTTGATTTTCATGCTAATTTTACGGGATGTCTCTTACTCCAATTACTACAAATCCCGGTGCATCAGCAATTCAGCATGATTAATACAATTGATTTGATTTTACAAATATGTAATGTAACTTTTGTAAGAAAAATTATGGCATGTAAATATTAAAATGTTTTGAGTTGAATTACCTGCTTGTTCTTTCCATTAACAACTGCTGTAATTAGCTCCGCCACTGATACGATATATTTTGTTTAATATTCATCAAATCTAACAAAACAGATTATCAGATTTTATTTATAATGTTTTAATTTGAAACGAAGAGAGAAAATGATCGGAGCATGGTAGAGATGTTCCTGCCTCTTAGTTTAACGACAATACTTGTCTTCCTCACAAATGGTTGCCTTACCATTGGTTGGCATTCGCATGCATCCCCCAACTTATTTTAATCATCATTGTCGTTAATATACTAAACTATAACGCTCATTATGATTATGGTAATGCTCTTGTTACGCCTTTCTTTTCTCCTCATGCGCTTACTACTTCATTTTCCACTTCAGCTTAATTCATAAAATGTCTCAGTAAAAAATCTCTGACCACATATCCATGTATAAACAAACAGATCTGGTCAAAAATATTGGTCACAATCAAGAAATGTATACATGTAGGTAATGGAAGAATAATAATGAATATAATAAGGATTGCTGAAGAGGACTCTTAACATTCCTTCCAATCATTTAAATAATGTAAACGAATATCAGAATACATTATTTCACATTTCGAATACCCAAACTTATTTCTTTTAAGAAAAATATTAAAGTGTAATGATGGCTAGAACACCCCACGAGCCATTCACACATCAACTTTTATCATTCCCCTAGAAGAAGAAAAAACTATAGCTTATATCTTAAAATCTCACTATCTCCACTTCCTCCTTCAAATCAAATCATTCACTTCGCTTTGCCTTCTCCAATGGCTCTTGAAACTTTCTTAATAAAACTCAAAAACGCCATTTCCTCCAAATCCACTTCTCAACGACCAACCAGATCATCATCTCCTCCGATCACCACCTCTTCCTCCGTCGGAGTTTTATCCTTCGAGGTGGCACGTCTCATGACAAAACTCCTCCACCTCACTCACTCTCTCACCGACTCCAACCTCCTTAGTCTACGAGACCACTCTCTGTCCTTGGAAGGTCTCACCAAGATCGTCACCGGCGATGAAACTTTCCACCTCAGCCTCGTCTGTGCTGAGCTCGCTGATAGTCTCGCCCATACTGCTGATTCTGTTTCCCGTCTGAGCAACCGTTGCACCACCCCGAGCCTCCGCTCTTTCCACCGCTTGTTCCATGAGTTCGCCGACATGGGTCGTGACCCTCATGGATGGGTCATCAGCTCTAAAGATACTGAATCCAAGAACAAGAAAATCGAAAGGTAACGAAACTTCTTTACACTTTTAACACTAAAAACAGAGGAAAAAACAGAGTAGAAACAGAGGATGACTGAGTTTTTATTTTTTATTTTATAATGGAAACAGATATGTGAGCGTGACAACAGCTTTGTATAGAGAGATGGAAGAGATGACGAGTTTAGAAAACTCCCTGAGAAAACACAGTTCACAGATTGGGATCGAATGCGAAGAAGACAACAAGAAAGAAGCGATGAGAGTGATGGATCTACAGCAAAAGATCGAGAGACAGAGACAACACGTGAAGTATTTGAAAGACAGATCTCTATGGAACAAAAGCTTCGACACGGTCGTGTTGATTCTCGCGAGATCGGTGTTCACCGCACTCGCGAGGCTCAAAACCGTCTTCTCCTCAGCCGCAGCAGCATCCAGCCTTGGCCCAACCGTCGTGTCTTTTCTCCCACGCTCTCTCTCTTCTTCCTCTTCATCGATGAACCTCGTCCACCCGAGCCCAAACGACGAGGAGAGGCTCAAAACGGCGTCGTCCTCTGCTTTCCTCGAAGAAAGCTCGAGGCTCTTGAAACCTCCCGAGACAACTCTGGGGGGATCAGGCGTGGCGCTTCACTACGCGAATCTTATCGTGGTGATGGAGAAGATGATAAAGCAGCCGCAGTTGGTGGGTCTCGACGCGAGAGACGATCTGTACTCGATGTTGCCGGGGAGCGTGAGGTCGTCGCTCAGGGCGAGGCTAAAAGGAGTTGGGTTCACGGCGACGGACGGTGGCTTAGCGGGGGAGTGGAAAGCGGCGTTAGGTAGGATATTACGGTGGTTGTTGCCGTTGGCACAGAATATGATTAGGTGGCAGAGCGAGAGAAGTTTCGAGCAGAAACATGTGGCGACGGCGGTGAATAGTCAGAACAGAGTGATGTTGGTTCAGACACTTGTGTTTGCGGATAGAGTTAAGACAGAAGCAGCCATTACTGAGCTTCTTGTTGGGTTGAATTATATTTGGAGATTTGAAAGAGAGATGACTGCTAAAGCTCTGTTTAATCTGCACTCTCCTCCCAATCACAGCTAATATTTACTGTAGAGTTTTGTTTGTTTCTTTCTTGGTGGGTTTTTTCTGGTTTCTTCTTCTTTGTTTAATTTGATGATACGCATTATGGAAAAAATGATAAAGTTATGTGGGTGGGGTTATTTTCTTGACATTTGAGAAATTATATATAAAGATTGTAAACAATGTAGATAATGGAATGAATTTGAGTGATTGTTTTCTTATAGTTAGTTATATACTTACTCATGTAATCGTTAAAGACTGACTCCTTGCTAATGCCGTGAGCTCTCAAATACCGGGTTTATTAATCAATTCATAAGAAATGTAATATGAAAGAAACATGCTTTTGGAATGAAATATTTGGAGTATAATTTGTAAACCAGTTGGACATCTGTAATAGTGTTGCAGATATGTTAACACAAATTGGAAATTATCTAAACTTTTTCTTTCATAAAAAATAATGCAATCCACCTGAATGTTTTTTTTTTCAATAATATGAACGATTTTCTAATAACCAGATAGATAATCAAATGTTTATAAAAGCAAAATGTTATGGTTCTACCAATTTTTTTATGCTAGTTTATTTTATAAGAAAATAGTTTATTATTTATATTTGCATGAGAAATTAGTGAAATGTCTAAAAAATGCGAGAACATAATTAGAATTATATATTTTATTCTTTTCCCTTTTACTTTTTCATATTAAAATTGTCTACAGAACCCTAAATAAAATAACTTAGTAGGTATACATTTATAAATATCCTAGAGAAAGTTGTTTGCTTTACTCCGTTAGTTGGAAGAGCCAAGTTTTGAGTATATATATATTCGACCAAAAAACAATAATATATATATATAGATGTTGACAAAGAAAACAAAATATATTTGATGAAATGAATCTAGAGAATAGAATTAGATGTCGAATATATCAAGTGTACCTAGAATACTTTACCTTTTAAAGTTTGTTTGACTTTACAATTAAAAAGTACTAATCAATCAATAGCCAGATCGATTCAACTCATGCGAAAGATTGAGGGTCAACTACTTTCTGTGTTTCATTTCAGTTAAACTAGTTGTAGAGAAATGGAGATATATAAAATATTAATCATTATGTAAATGACTGTGATTTTTCAGATTAGTTTTATGATCACCGAGAAGACTTGCATTTTTATCTGTATGTATACTGTTTCTTTCGTGTTTCAAAAAAAAAGAAGTATTAATGTTTCTTTCATTTATATTCTAAACACATTTTGTATATAGGTTCAGTGATGGGCGCTTTTTAAAATAAAAAATTCCATTCATATATTAATCGGGAAAATCGCATAAAAAACCTTCAAGGTGGCAACCACTTACACTTTAAACCCTGAGAGTATTTTACAAGCACTTTAAACACTCAAATTGGCAAATTTAGCATATTAAACCTCCAATCTGGCTTACTTGTACATCAAGTTAAAAATGTGACCAGTACTCTTCAAAAGCGATGACGTGTCGGTTTTTTTTTTTTAAAAAAAAAATTTACGAAAAATAAATATAAAAATACAGAAAATATAAAATTAGTTAAAAATTCTTTAAAAAATTGAAAAAATCAGAAAAAATCAAAAAATCAGAAAAATCATAAACATTAAAAAATCACAAAATAATTAAAATATTTTATTAATAAATATTAAAAATAAGAAAAACTTAAAAGAAATTATAAAAAATCCCAAAATAAGAAAATTCAAAAAAATTTAAATAAAACAAAAATGAAATTTAAATAAAATTAATATAAGAATAATAGATAAAATAAATATAATTTCAAGAATAAATAATTTTATTTGTTTTATAAAAAACGAGAAAACACTATATTTTTTTTTTTAAAAGAATCATTATCTTCAAATGATTCTCGTGAACCAAATCAAAGCAAACAAATTAAATTCCAAGGATTTTTATGCGATTTTACCAATAATCTAATTATCTTCAAATGATTCTCGTGAACCAAATCAAAGCAACAAATTAAATTCCAAGTCTTTTAGCACCTAGACTTTCACCTGCATAAGTTTTTTTTTAAAATTATATTGTTATTTGTTTTTCGTGTCACTATTATATAATATATATATATGTCATCGTATAATTGAATGTATATGATATATACCATCAAATGATTCTTGTGAACCAAATCAAAGGAAACAAGTTAAAATCCAAATCTTTTAGCAGTTATTAAAATACCCTATATTAATCTAGTTATAAAATCCAGAAAACCTTGACTAATAAGCAACAAAATGAGAACAAAATGACTTCGAATTTAATTTGTTTGCTTTGATTTGGTTCACGAGAATCATTTGAAGATAATGATTCTTTTTTTTAAAAAAATATAGTGTTTTCTCGTTTTTTTATAAAACAAAAAATTTATTTATTCTTGTAATTATACTTATTTTATCTATTATTCTTATATTAATTTCATTTAAATTTCATTTTTGTTTTATTTAAAATTTTTTGAATTTTCTTATTTTGGGATTTTTTATAATTTCTTTTAAGTTTTTCTTATTTTTAATATTTTATTAATAAAATATTTTAATTATTTTGCGATTTTTAATGTTTATGATTTTTCTGATTTTTTTTGAATTTTTTCTGTTTTTTTTCAATTTTTAGTGAATTTTAATGATTTTTAATGAATTTTTATATTTTCTGTATTTTTATATTTATTTTTTCGTAAAATATTTTTATTTTATAAAGAAAAAAACCGACACGTCATCGTTTTTGAACAGTACCGGTCACATTTTTAATTTGATGTACAAGTAAGCCAGATTGGAGGTTTAATATGCTAAATTTGCCAGCTTGAATGTTTAAAGTGCTTGTAAAATACTCTCAGGGTTGCCACCTCGAAGATTTTTTATGCGATTTTCCCTATATTAATCCATGTTCGAATTGTGTTATGTGTGGCAACGCGTCTGGTCAATGATCTTCTTCTCCCCTCTTACAGCGGCGCGTGTGAAGCCGCCGTGTAAACTTGCTCTTCTTAACATCGGTCGTTTTACTATAACCTTTTCAGTGGAGAATTCTATCTCAAATTCTCAATACATATATATTTATATATATATTATTTTTATGTCAACATAATATATGTATATATATTAATATTTAATTACAGAATTGTTAAAATTACGAAAAACTCAACTAAAAATATCTCATTTAATATATTATTGGTTGACTTTTCTATAATTTCAAAAATTTAATAATTAAATGCTAATATTAATACGTATAACTCCCACTGAAGAATTTCTTGGTTCTTTTTTCTTGAGATCCTTATGAGTTACATTTTGTCAGTAAAACTTTCTTCATTTTTTTCTCCAAATGTTTTGGTAGCATCACAGAAAATAAATAATTAACAATAATAAAATTTTGTGAATATTTGAAAAAAGTTGAAGATTAGATCGGAAGAAAATATCAAAAATATAATGTAAAATGAGGCTATTGTTATTGTTGACTTTGAGTTATGAATTATTTTTGAAAAACTAATCTTTTCGATCTTCTATTTTTATAAATATTAAATTTCTGTTTGATATAAAAATTAATGTATTTTATGAGGATCTTTTTTTATCATGATCAAAATATGTAAACTCACTAAATTTTTGTTCTCGTTTGTAGTCTTCTTAAATGGAATTGCTAAGAGAACTTGTGCAAAAGCCAGCAACAATTGACAACAAACAATAAAATATCCTTGTTTATCAAAATTATTAGTTCTTAAGAAATTAACTTCTTAGAGCTAGAAGGTTTAATATTTGAATTTGAGTTATTAAGCTACTGTTAATTTATTAAAGAAGTGGAGTAAAATGTTGGGTTCCGGTTAAAGATTTTCCACGAGTTTTTCTAAAGTCAATTCGAAGATACATCTGATTTGATCAAATCCGGTTTATGTTGAGTTCTCGTAGCGATCTTCTTCGGTAAACAAATCAAAACCCAAAACTTTCTCAGGAAAAAATGGCTGAAACCGACGAATATTCAAGTCCAATGTCGAAAGGCAGGGATCTTCTCGCGACCTCAAGCCACGAACCACTAACCATCATCGTCGACCAACTCTTCACTCCTCAACAATCCATCGAACACCAAACGGCACGTGCTCTCTACGACTTCTGCGTCGCCAACTCTTAACCCTAATGCTTCTTAAGGTCTAAAGATTCTCTTCCGTTAACGTCACGACTCCGGTCGATCCTTCTCCTATCCAAAACTCTTACCAAACATTGCGTCGAGCTCTCCCCCGTCGCTCTAAACCACACCAAACCGTTTCTTGTTTCTTTTCTGAAGATTTGAAACGCCACGAGACGCGACAACAGCATCTTGAGCTCCCCCGAGCTCGGAGCTTGTATACTCTCACTCCTTTATATCCTATTAAAGCTTTCAACGTCTTCGTCGATTTGCCACCAATCCATGGAGATTTCATCAACATAGTCCATCGTAAGCTTCGTGAAGAAGTCTACAAGGTGTTGCTTCACCCTGACGATGATTGGACTTTAGGGCTAGAAACTGCTATCAAACTAGGGCTTCAGGTTTCAGTAGATACAAAGAAAAGATCCGAAATTCTTCAAACTGTTGTTGCCAACTCAGCTGAGAAGCTTATGAGCATGGGGATGGAAGTGCGCTTGAACAAACTATCAACTGCGCTTGAACGTCTCTTGAAGTTTCTTGCAAAACACGCAAGCTTATGTAAATAGAGTTTGCGTTTAGATGTTTCGGAGACTGAGAAACTCCCTCCGATGCTGATGCCGATGCTGACGCAAATAAGTATTTGGAATATTTCTAAATATTTTATTTTTAAAATTAGAATTATTTTTATTATTGCTATGATAGTTTGTTGTTGTGTAAAGTCTCTGTTAGGGATAGTGAATAAATTTTGAAAGGTCTGAAATTTTAAAGGGATGCATCTAGGCAAATGATTAATCATTTGGAGTCTTCTATCACTTTTGGAAAAAATAGCCGATGGTACTAATGTTAGGAGTTTTCAAGGCTCATAAGCCAAATGTTGTAGTATAAACGATTGTCGAACCAGTTCTGAGAGATGTAAAAATACTGATAATGCAAGTACTCGCTTAATCTAAGTACAATCGAAATAATGATGGTTTTAAACTATAACTAAGAATAAGAAAAACGAATACTTAAAATAACTTCTTTGATTGAGAGAAATGAGAATTCATGGGCATAGGGATTAGACCTTGGGTGATCAAGTTTCGAACTAGGGAT